AGATTCGTTCGCATTTCGTGCATTTGGTGAGTAGTGCGGCGAGGCACGAAGCGTGGTTGGTTACCCTGTCAGCCATCTGAAGGACCACCTTGTATCTTTCAAGAGACAACTGCCAAAAGACAGCCTTCCTCACATAGCATGGCATATGTTGGTAGGCCTTTATCATTTGATTTTTCTGACTAGGTAGGCCTGCTGATGGCTGAAAATTCAGATCACGATTCCATTTGTCAGCTTGCCCTTGAAATTCTGGAACATTTCGCAGCTGTGCAGGACTAGACCCCCGAGGGTAGGGATGTCATCAATACACAACTTTTTTCCTTCGTTTTTCAATTGCTTTCACAGGATCAAAATGACCGGCCATTTTGTAAAAGCATTAGGAGTTGTGGTTATTTTAAGATCAAAATAACGGTGAAAAGTTGATTTTTGGTTACAATAGAAGAAAACGGCTTTTTCTGTTGATTTGATTAGGAGTCATGGCTTTGTTACACTCCCCCCCTCTTCACTCCCCCCCGCCCCCGTCCCCCCCCCCCTAGCTCATGGGTATGAAGGTGGTTGGTGTAAGCTCGCAATAGACTCCCATCCCAGCCCACCACACAGCATGCACTTTGGCCGTCATATTGAGGGCAACAGGTGAAAGAAAGGTGAGTGCTCTCATCGCTTCTTTGCCTTTCTTTCTTTCTTCTTCCTCCTTTCAGAAGTGTGAGCATTCTCTTCCTCTTCCACGGTCTTCTTCTTCTTCTTCTTCTTCTTCTTCTTCTTCTTCTTCTTCTTTGTTAAGCTATGAAGCTGGTCTTCTCTTTTTCTTCTTTTCGTCTTCTCCTTCCTCCTTTTTTTGTTAATCTATGAAGCTGATCTTCTCCTCTTCTCCTTCTTCTTCTTTTTTGTTAAGTTCCTAAGCCGATCTTCTTTTGCTTCTTCTTCTTTCTTCTTTTTGTTAATTTTGCAAGAAGCGGAATAGCACTAACATCATTCTATAGAGCAGAATTTGACATTTCGAACTCTTAACTACTTCTCACGAGTTACATCTGTGTATCGCTGAGCCACCAGGCAAGCACAGGATCTCCTCCTCCTCCTTCATTTGCTTATCCAGTCGGTCGAGCAGCACGTGATGCTCATAGAAGGAAGTGGAGAAAACTGATGACGAAGAAGATGAAATAGAATACCGTATGAATCGTAAGAGCGAAATCGATCGCCACATCCTGGCTGTTCATCCACGTCCACGTGCACCGGATTTTCTTTCCCTATGTTTGTTCTTCTTCTCGTTGTCCTTGGGTCTTGTTCTTCATCAGCCTCTACCTTCTGCATCTATTTTCGTCTGGACCCTCCCTCCCTCCCGCGCCCCTCCATAATCATCCTGCTCCCCTCCTCCCGTCTGCGAGCTCCACATGTCGTGACCTGGAGTAATGTCCCCAATATTGTGAACTTCCTCCCTACCCCATTGATCTTCATAATCTATGGTGCTGGCGGAAACACGTCGGGCAATGTGCCAGTTTCCTCTGCATGTCCTTCAAGTTCCGTCTGTGTCTGCTTCTTTGCTTCTCAAGTTCTTAACCCACCATTACATCCAAGCCTGTTTCGTATGAGACGGATTCCCCCTGCGCACCAAGCTTTGCCGAAATGCCAGTGCAGCGTTTTTGTTTTCGTTTTGGCTGGCGCCGCCAGCCATTTTGGTGCAGTTCCCCCCGGCCCATGATTTTTTTGGAGAGAGCCTCTCGTTGTTCTCGAGTAGCCTGGGGCCATGTACTGGTGGTTTAAACCACCACTACCTCCGAGCCTCTTCTTGTCGAGGCGGAAAAGAACTGCGTGCCAATCTTTGCCAAAGTGCCAGCTCGAGGTGCTTCTCCAAGCACTTGCAAAGAGGCTTCCACTAGAAAAACTCACTGTGGTGGAACAGTGAAGCAATGGATGCAGGCCCTATGTCCCCATCTCTTCTTGCCAAACCCCATCTTTTTTTTTTTTCCTTTTTTTTTTTGCCAAACCCCATCTTGGCCAGTTCAATTTGCCAGTTTCTCTTTGCCACTCTTCTCTGCACGGATTCAATTGTGCACATTGTCTTTTTTGCAGTTTGTTTAGAATGTGACTGATCTCCAAACCACGCCTCCCTGCTTGGGCTTCTTACAATTATAATAACAAGTCGACCTGGTGCGGCTAAGCCGCACCCCACTGAATCTCCTGCGCCATAACTTCTTTTCTTTTCTGCATGTCGAGAGCAGGGGAGCGGCCTCCCTATCCCCCCCCCCCCCCCCCCCTCTCTCTCTCTCTCTCTCCCTCCTTCCCTCCGCTGCAGCACACCAGGCTTCGAACCCGCGTGGACGGGAAAAAAAAATCTCTGCACTTTTTGCAGGTTTCCCTTGGGCCCACGCCTTGCCCCCGACCATTTTCCCAACACAGGGAGCCCTTGCTTGCGGAAGCGTCACGCGAGACCCGCTGTTCACCTGACACTTTTGAAACGGCTGCGACAGCTTCCCCTTCAAAAACAGCAAAAAAGAAACGGCTTCCCCCAAGATCATCAATGCTGCCGGGCACAGCATGACCGCGGTCCTCTCTTTCGCGCAGTTGAACGGGCAGCAACCATCCACTCATACCCCCTTCTGAACAAGACCAAATTTGTGGGATTGGACTGCACTAAGGAATTCACAAAATAATTATATATCGAGCTTTGAACTCACGATCTGTTCAGTAACAGTTGCATGTGTATACCATTCAGCCATATGGTGAATGACATCCACCCTCATGATTTGAGACCTACTCCAACTGTATTTACTATTTATTTATTTATTTACTTTGCTAGGTCAGAGCTCAGAGACGCAACAAGTGCAAGAATGAAACACAGATTCCCGGGTTCGGTTTGCAAATGAGGTAACTTAGCGAAGAGCAACTACCGTCTTCACCCAAATAGAATGCCCGGCCAGTGGGGCAACTTTCACACCGAATACAACGATAATGACCGGGCATTCTTTTTTTTGAAGGTTGTGACAGGTGTCAGGGACAGTTCACGGCGAGATAATGATCGGGCGTTCTATTTGGGTGAAGAGGGCAGTGTAGGGAAAAGCATGGGATCTGCGCCAGCTGTTCAGCTGGTCAAAGATGAGGCATTCCTGTTGTACTTTTCCTTAAACAATTAGAAAAACAATTTGAAACATACAAACTGCAAACTTGGTAGGAATTTGAATTTGAAGAAACTACAAGAAAGCAAGCCCCTGCTTACTTAATGTATGTCAAGTGTTGCAGCACATAGGAAGGACTGGGTGGAAGGGAAAATCTGCACCTCCGATTTGTTAACAGTTTTGTCCAACTTTCATGTACGTACTAAGTTGCAAGATCCTTTTTTCATTTCATCAATGTTCATAAGCTTTGCGCGCTCCCCAGGTCATACTACGATCTTCCCCGGAACAGGATGCACCCTCATCATGACCTTATTGAACTACAAAGATAGCTTGTATGCATTCACTATCAGTGTAACATTGTGTTAAGAGGAAGATTAGCAAGTGGGGACAGTTCCTCGAACAAGATGCTTTTTCCAGTTAAATTCGAACGATACAGAGAAGGGTAAATTAGTAAATGGCCCCTGTGCAAAGGATGACACGCCTACATGGAGAATGGTACAAAGTACTACAAACTTCCAGCAGTTACAAATTCACAAACTCCCAAGTAATTCCAAATTTGTTTCCACGCCCCGAATTCCCGATGACTGCTTCAACCACTTGGGAGCAGGTGCATGATACCATTTGAGAATCGCAAGTACTTAGAGTGAACTTACACTCCCTTAGAGTCAGAGGAGTAGTATTTACTCCAGCTAGTGCCTAACCTGATGTCTGCTACTGGGGCCATGGCTGAAAGGCATAATATCAAGTTAATAACTGCAGCAACTGTCAGCAAGTCCTCCCTCATGTGTCTCCGGTGACTCTGGTGTGCATTGTAAAGTGCAATTGACAAATTTTACTTACAATCTAACAACAACAAAATGCTAGAACCTGAAGTCGGCGGCGGCAGTTTGCCAGTAATTGAGCAACCGGTCGGATGAGCCGCAGCAATGACTTGGTTTGGGGAACAATTAGCGCAGGAGTTCCTCCTCCATCCACCTTCCATTGTTGGCCATAACTAAGCACAGCATTGGAAAACAGTGATAAGCATATGTATCAGCTATGTAAACCTCTGCCAAGCTGATTGCCAGGCAGACAACCTTCACAGCAATCGTCCCCACGACAGCTGGATTTCGTCATGTGCCCGCTTTTTTTTTATGTTGCACCTATGTGCACCCAGAAATGCCCCTGCATGGGATCTTCTGTTGCCTGCCAATCTGGGCAACCCCTGCCTATGTCAGCAACGCAAATCTCCCCTTTCCCCCCTTCTCCTCTTTCCCCTTTCTAAATTTATGCATGTCACCCTTGCCCGGGCACCATGCTAATCTTCCATGTATCGTTCCAACTTTAGTGGATGTCCCAAACGACTCTTTTCCTTTTCTTTCTTTTTTTTTTCTTTTTTTTTTTTTTTGGAGAACCATATGAGCATTTATTCCACAAGGTCAAAAGAGACGGGGCCGGGAAACCCCACAACAATCCCGAGAAACTGGGGCCATTACCCAGACAGGCTCATGGAAACCGGGTCCAGTGTCCCTTTTGGCCAGAAAAAATCAGCTCCCCAAGTAAAAAATAGAAGGGTCCAACACCCAAACCAACTTTATCTCCAACCTTTTCTACCCTCTACCCTTCCTAGAATGTTTCAAAGGACTCTATGGTGGGGAGCTAAAGCGCTCCCCATGTCCCTGAGGGGACAACAACCAATGACAAAACTGCAACCTACCCTTTGAGTCCAATTTAACCACACTAGAATTCCTTCCCCACGTATCCCAAAACCACTTCCTAGACTTCTGGGTATTTGGAACTTTGTGTCTGATGCAATCGCTTCGAATTGTCGTTCTAATCTGTTGAATCACCGACATCTTTATCTGAGAGCTCTGCACTATCACAAAAAAAGCAAGAAGGACTGACTAGACATACCATTCAAGGACTGACAGCTCTGCACTATCACAAAAAAAGGAAGAAGGAAATCAGGAAATCTCTCTGCATGCCCTCCTTTTCGAGCAAAGGGATACATGCAGACCTGACCTCATGACCCATACAGAATTTTGCCTGCCCTCGGGAGGCAATTTCTCGAGGGCTACCCGGTTAACCGGTTTCCGGCAGTCGGGGAGCCGATTCTTCAAGAACTGTGGAGGCCCCCAAAAGCCCTCAAAGGCCCCAAAGATGACCCTTTTATGGGCCCTCTGTTTCGAGTTTTGCTTCCCCATTCAAGCCTCCTCACCTTTTTTGGGTGTGGTGTTGGTTTAAGCAACGGATGAAACTCTAGCCCAGGAGAACCGACCATCTATCTCAAATAAATGACCGATGTACCTGACCCGCCATGCTTTGCCTCTGCATCCTCGACCTTGCTGACCAGTGGGTGCATGCTAACATGTATCTGAGTTGCAGCTTTGAGTGCTCCTGTTCCGATCCCATGTATGACAAAAAGTGCATGATTCTCCCCCTCCATCCCCAGCCGTTCAATTGCATCATCGAGGAATTCCATGGCTTCGTCGACACACATACCGCGAATGTCAACAGTGTTTTCACTCCTCTTGATAGGAACTGGGGTTCTCCTCGTCGAGGCCGCCTTTCTCTCTACAACCCTTAACTCTACACCCGTCTTGTTTCTCGCTTCCTGCATCTGCTTTTTGGTAGGTATTGGCGATCCGGCCGTGGGAGAGAGTTCACTGAAGCTAACTGTCACTTGCATGAACCCACACTGTACTGTCACCTCCTTCTTGGCTTCGGACACCGTCAAGACACGCCCCTCCATTTTCAGTCGCTGCACGACTACCGTCTCCCCTACCTTTGGGATGCACAAAGTTGTGGTTGCAGCTGCTCCTTCAGCTCTATCCATGGTGCCTTGTTCTTGCCCAAGAGTTTCCTGGTCTGCCAAGGACTTGCTATCAGCTTTATTGTTGGCGTCTTGTTGTGGAGGGGCCCTTGTTCGATCCATGCCGATGGGTTGTTCATCCCTTTGTTGTCCTTCACTGGACTCCTTTGCCACAGGTGCCGCAAGTTGCTTTCGACGTTTGTTCCTCGCTTTCCTAAGTGACAACTGGATAGAGGACTGTGCTGCCTGAAAGATACTCTGGATTTCATCTGATCTTCGCAGCAACAATTCAGCCTGATGCCTTTGCAGCCGCAGCACAGCCTCCTTGACATCGGAGTGCATCCTCTCTGCCTCTTCCAAAAGCTCTTCTGCTTGGGAGATTGCCCCTTCATACCTACGCCTCTCGTTCTCCAGATTCATGATTACCTCGTTCACCTCTGCGTTCGTTGATCCATGCAACCGTCTTGCCTCATCAATGATCGACATCAGTACGCCGAGCTTCCAAGCAATGTTCAACGCATTTGAGCGACCTGGAATGCCCCAAAGCAGGCGATAAGTTGGGGCAAGCTTGTCTTCATCGAATTCCACAGAAGCATTCTCAAATCGGCGATCGACATACTTCAGAGCCTTCAACTCCCCGTGATGTGTGGTGGACATGGTTAGAAGAGAACCGCCCGGGCCATTTTGTGCAAACGACTGAAGAAGTGAGATCCCAAGCGCTGCACCTTCAACTGGATCGGTACCCGCACCCACCTCATCGAGAAGGACCAAGGAGCAGCCCGTAGTCTCTCTTTTGATGCTCATAACTCTGCGAATGTGGCCAGAGAAGGTCGACAAACTCTGAGAAAGTGACTGATCATCCCCAATGTCTGCCAACACCTTGTCAAACCACGGAATACAGACAGGATCTTGTGCCAGCACATACAGCCCAGCTTTGGCCATCAGTGCCGCAAGTGCGACCGTTTTCATGGATGCCGTCTTACCACCTGTGTTGGGTCCAGTGATGATCACAACGCGGACTCCTCTTTGCACGCAAATATCAATAGGGACTGGTGGGGTGGCTGCCAGTGCCTCTGCCTCTGCTTCCGCCTCCGCTGCTGTCTGCTCTGCTTCCTTCACCACATATAGACCCCCACCTCTCATCTTCGCCATCATCGCTGCCCGATCTTTCATTCTGGCTCGACCCCTCGCTTTCCGAATGCCATCGCGATGTTGTTGCACCAACAAAGGATGCCGCGCCTTCTCTAAATGCAAGACCCATGCGGTACCGCCGTTCGCAGTGGGATTGGCAGTTCCTCTGCCTTTGGCCACAACTGCGTCCCCCTCCCCAGCTGCTGCCGGAGGTACTGCTTCCCCATGAGCATCGTTGCCCTCTCTCTCTCCCTCTCTCTTACTAGGGGACAAACTTGCGGCATTGTTACGAACCTCAGCGGCATCCACAAACTGTGGACGACATCCACCCATCCAGGAGCTGTACCGTGCCCGCCCAGCGATCACATCAAGTTCAACGACCGAGTTAAGCACAAACTCTACGTCATCAAGACAGTCTATGATTCTTTGTGTCAGGCGCCAGCGAACTGCCTCTTCAGCCTTTGCAACAGCCGCATTAGCCTCTGACAGTTTGTTGTTGAGAGGAACCGCTGCAGGCGGCTCGAGGTAGAGAGTCGATCCACCAGCAGTGCTGCCAATAAGCAAGCCCGGCAAAGGGTCAACTGATCTGCCAGCGATCCCAACAGCGATGCACAACCGCCCTCCCTGCTCTACAACACCGGATGAGTTATCATATTTTGACACTGTGCGATTGAGTAGATCTCTCAACTTCTGCCGGAGGGAATCCCGTTGTATGACTGCACGCCTTAACTCAGGACTTGCATTCTCGCGAATCGATCCGTCGTCGTCGTGGACAGTGCTTTTCACAGCGTCGATGATTTCTGGGTGTGTGGCGATTGGCTTGGTGATTGCCAGAAGAGGCAACAGAGAGGTGTCAGTCTGCTTGTCATCCCTTTTTTCTGCTGCAACGGTGGAGATTGTCCGGCGCATTTGTTGTGCAGCCTCCAACATGGAGGCCACAGCCAACAACTCAACACCAGTTAAAGGGGTTTGCCTTCTTGCACGCCCCATCGCATTCGAGACGATATCCGTTCGAATGCCCCCAAACTCCAAGGAACCCCCATTTGCGCTTTCCAACTTTATCATTGCTTCTGTCTCTTTCAACAGCTCCTCACTCTCCTCCTGGGTGCCTGGAAGACATAGGTTAAAAAGCTGCATGTTTCCCAGCGAAGTTGACGCAAACCCTGCAACCGATTCACAGAGTTGTGGCCAATCAACCATGTGCAAGCTATCTTCCTCCACAGAGGATCTCTCAGCGTCCCTGAGAACAGGGATTGCAACTCTCTGCGGGTGGTCTGAAACACCGACTGATGAATCTGCAACAACCGCCACCGACGAAAGCTGTTCAATTCCATCAATGCCATAATTCTCAGGCTTATCCCTTGCAGATGGTTCAACCCCGTGGGATCTGGTGGTCACACGCAGAACAGTGTGGCGAAGCAAGCTCCAGTTATGAAGTTGCACCGAGCACTTTCCCAACCTTCGAAGAACGTTCTCCTCCTTCAAATTAAGATATTCACCCTCGCTGTTCCTCCTGAATCCCACATTGGGCATGGCACCAAGGAGCTCATGCGGGTGTGGTTGTTGGAGAGCACGTGCATGCTTTACATTACTTGCCACAGTGTCCAGTGAGGCGTTGCATGCGTTGATCGAAGCAATGGCCCATCGAGCGCCACGTTTACAGAAGATGCTACAACGTCGATTATGTTTCGCTTGAGCTGAGAATACATTTGATGTGCTGAAGGTGTTCTGGCACAGAACCGTGGCAGAGCTCCAACACGCACCAAACAGCTTACTGCACTGTCTAGATTCCCTCAGTCTAGATCTGTGGAGAGCGAAGTAGAGACGGTAATGCAATGAAGAGTTTGTGGCAGGCGTGGGAAGAAAGGCACTGCAGTTCGGAGGCCTTGAACGTTGCATCTGGTCGCTACCATCAGGGTGACGGGCAATGCAGCAAGTACATGACCCATGAAGATTAGCCCAAGGCACTAGCCTCCTATCGGTAGTATTTGGAACTCTCAAGCTGAGGCTGGTTGGTACGTCAACCAAGCTTCGAGGTTGGTGCAGTTGTTGCATCTTCGCTTGCAACAAGCTGCTGCTGTCACAGAATTTTGTCAAACAATAAAGTCAACGCAAGCTGTTGACTTCTTGCTCAGCTGTACGTGCAGCTGCGATTCTGACAGACTTCAGGAACAAACAGCATGCATCTTTGTCCTCCGTCAGCTCAGGTTCCAATACAGTAAGAGCTTAGAAGCCCATCAGTTGCCATGCGGTTCACGGGAACGCCCTCCGCTCCAACAAGGCATAAAAGTTGATGAAACCCATCTGATGTTGTACAAAAGAAAAAAAAAAGCAAGAGGCCGCCTGCTAGATCAGATTAAAATTCTATTTCCAGGGGATAATTATGCCACCAATCAGATCCCAAAAACAAAGAAGAAAAAAAGACCTCTTCGCAGATGGCTACCTGAACGGTAAGAGTACGAGGAGTTGGTGAGACTAAGGAACGGGAACGGTACAATGAACGTAACTAATGAATCAATAGATGAAGATTTCAAATCCGGTTCACCGTACTCAATAACAAATTAACAGTAGTGTTAGGGTCTACCCCATTGAAAAATAAAAATCCCTTTTTTTGTGAGTCTCACCAACCCAGGCTGCCATATCACAGTTAACGTGCCCCTTCTTTTACATCCCCTCCCCTCTCCCTCCTCCCCTCTCCTCCTTCCCCCCCTTCTTCCAGCCAAACTACTCCTACAGGACGGTCATGAGCAGCATTTTTTTTGCTGAGCCTGCCATGTCAGTCACACTAGTAGGTGTTGCCCTCTTGGTTATACGAGGTCCCTATCTCACTGTGCAAGCAGACTTGTGTCCCATCTCACCTCCCCTCTATCTGCTCAGGGCAACAGACATGGCCAATTACCCTTCTCCCCTCCCCTCACTGATCAAGATAAGAGAGTGAGGGTGGATCCACTCTCCTCTCCCTCTTTCTGTGTCTGCCCACTCAAAGAAAAAGGGAAAGGGAAGAAACCGTCTTCATACATATTGCTTGCTACCTTCTTCCCCCGAACAAAACGCCCGGTCATTCTCGCTGTATACAGACTGAAAATTGGTCCAAATAGAGATACTATGACCCTATGTTCTATTCGGGTGAAGACGGTACCTTTCAGGTGAACAGGGAGAACCACCATGTCAGAGAAGAGAAAACCACTTCAACAGTTAAAGCAACTGCTGAAGATACCCAGGCAGAGTGGGAGCCGCTTTCAACACCAAGACACACACTGAGCACAGGAAGGGTGAGACATTGTAAGGTTGACAGGGAGCAATAGGCTAAGCATGGAGGAAAAGGAGAAAGATAAAAAAGAGGCGAACAAAAGAGGAGGCCGACAGAAATGCAGACAAGAAGTTATCGCAAGCGCCAACACGTGTGTTTTTTTGGTTATTAAAAAAAAAAAAAAAAAAAAAGCTCATGCTGTAACATCACCCTGCCAACAGGCTCAAAACAGATACAATTGTCACACCCTACTCTCCTCAATCAAGAGCATGGAGGCAAACCTATGCCAGAATGCCAGAAGGTCGGAGATAAGCTTTTCAGGCAAAGTACTCTCCAAAATGTAGGCTAAGTACTCTCCAAAATGTAGGGTACTAAGTACTCTCCAAAATGTAGGCCAAGTACTCTCCAAAATGTATAGGCTAAGTACTCTCCAAAATGTAGGCTAAGTACTGCAGAAGTTCAGAGATATCCAAAATGTAGCCTAAACACTCTCCAAAATGTAGGCCAAGTACTCTCCAAAACGTATAGGCTAAGTACTCTCCAAAATGTAGGCTAAGTACTGCAGAAGTTCAGAGATATGGTTTTCAGGCTAAGTAGTCTCCAAAATGTAGGCTAAGTAAAAAAAAAAAAATAATGTAGGCTAAGTACTCTCCCCTTCTCCAATAAGTAGGCTAAGTACTGTCCAAAATTCCAGCCTTTTATTGCCAAAACTGATTTCAGAAAGCTGACGAAAAAACAACGGATTTGATTCCTTGTAGTCCGGAGATCCGATCACGAGTTCCTTGAGCCCCCATCCCATTTTAAAAAAAAAAGAAAAAAAAGCCCCATCCCATTTGTGTGGACGGACTGGTTTTCGGAAAGGTTTTCAGGAGTCGTCAGTATGGAAGAATGAAATCTAACGACATCTTTGTTGTGCTGATTGTGCAGCTGCATAGCCCCCACCCTTCGCGAGAACAGAACGCAGTCTCTGCGGACGCAGAGACCCCCTCCTCCCGATTACTGATAAGTTTGTAACTGCTTCGCTATTACTTGACTACCATCTTCACCCCCGAATAGAACGCACGGTCATTATCGCTGTATCTAGACTGAAAAGTTCACGCAAATACGGCGAGAATGACCGTGTGTTCAGAGATCATGGTTATCTTCTTCTTATTCTTCTTCCTATTCTTTATTTTTTCTCTCTTTTGTTTAAGCAAGGGCAATGGCATTTGGTTATCCTCGTTTAGCTGACTGGCCGCAGGTAATTCAGAATTACATTGTTCTGCTCATCTGATTGCATCTGGATTCGAACTCCGGTCTGTATTTCAACAGGTCAATTGGTGTACCAACTGAGCTAGGCCTCTTCTTATTATTATTATTATTATTATTATTATTATTATTACTTCTTTTTCTTCTGCTTTCCGGAGGCCATGGTTGCTCTTACCTCAGTAAGAGCCCACCATCCTGTTAAGAAAGCGGCATTGGAAACAGCATGATGCTGCTGCTGCTGCAGCAGCTCATGCTTGTGAATTTCCAGTACTTTGGTGATGAAATAACTAGAGCCTTCACCGTGTCAATGAACGCTAGACTGACTTCCATAGGAGGAAGAGGAGCTGGGAGCAGGAGGAGGAAAAGGACGGGGGAGGAGGGGGAAGGAGGGAGTAGGACGGGCGGAGGGGAGGAAAGGGGGCAGGGGAGGAGGGGGAGGAGGAAAAAGAAGAGAAGAAGGAGATGATGATGATGATGATGATGATGATGATGAGAAGAAGAAGAAGAAGATTGATGGATGACGATGATGAATGAATGATTGCAATGGCGGATGGATGGACAACTAAAAGGAGGCGCCTTGGGTGCAGCATATGAAGAAAGGTCTGGGAATGGGTATAGAGGTCTAGATGTAGGTTCTTCGGTGGTGGGGGGAGCCAAGAAGAAGCAGGAGGAGGAGGAGGCGGAGAAGAAGAATGATGATGGTCGATGAATAGATGAACGAATGAAAAGAGGGCGTCTTGAATGCAGGACGTGGCAGAAAGGACTGGGGAAGGGTGGACTAAGAAGAAGAAGAAGAAGAAGAAGAAGAAGAAGAAGAAGAAGAAGAAGAAGAAGAAGATGGAGAAGAAGAAGAAGAAGAAGAAGAAGAAGAAGATGGAGAAGAAGAAGAAGAAGAAGAAGAAGAAGGAGGAGGAGGAGGAGGAGAAGAAGGAGAAGAAGGAGAAGAAGGAGAACAACAACAACAACAACAACAACAACAACAACAACAACAACAACAGCAAGAACTTGAACAAGGAAGAGTGACAAGAACAAGAGCAAGAAGAAGTGACAAGCAAGTGGTGGACAAATCTCGAAAGCTTTGTGTCTGTTTTAAAGCTTCGTGTCTCTTTTAAAGCTTCGTGTCTGCTTACCAAAACAATATTCCCTGACAACGCGTTTTGACAGGCTGCGCTTGGGTAAGACGGGGACGCCAAGAAGGGGGAAGAGGCGGGGCGGGGGGGGTAGACGAAGAAAATCTCGAAATGATCTTAGCTGCAACACGTGGCAGAGAAGTCAGAGTACATAGGGAGAAGTTGGAGGAGAGGAGAGAAGAAGAGGAAGATAAACTGTCATAACGTGGTAGGAAATTCGGGCTGCGGGGAGACGAAGAAGGGAGACGAAGAAGGGAGAGGAAGAGAAGAAAAGGAACAACGAGAAGAAGGAAACCGGCGGGGCGGGGGGGGGGGGGGGGGGGGGGGGGGGGGGGGGGGGGAGGAGGGGAAGCACCTGCTCTGTGCTACACACGCTCCGCACTAGAAGAACAAAAACAACAGAAATAAGGAAAATAAGAGGAAGAAAAAGAAGTACGAGACAATGCAGCGGAGGCAGAGCATGAAGAGGAGAAGAAATGAGTCTGGGTGTGCCACATGGCACGAACGTGCAGCGGTACAAAGGTATAGAACAAGGAAAACAAGCGGAGAAGTAATAGAAAGAAGAGGGGTAGCTGAATGCACCACGCGGCAGAAAGACCGGGGTAAAGAAGAAAAGACTGAAGCAGAGGGGAGAGAGAAAACGACAAGGGGAAAAGACAAGGCAATCCTGCGTGCTCCACGTGGCGGACAGGTCGGAGCAAAGGAGAACACGGGAAGGAGGAGGAAGCACAAGCAGCGGATGAAGAAGAAGGAGGATAAGGAGAAGAAGGAGAAGGAGAAGAAGGAGAAGAAGAAACGAAAGAAAAGAGGGGGGTTTGCCTGGCGTGGAGTGGGAACAGGAGAAGGAAAAAACGGACGTTTGCCGGACTGGTCAAATGGTAGAAGGTTCTTCCCGGGTAGGAGGGGAGGAAGTGTAGTAGAAAGGGGGGAGAGAGAGAGAGAGAGAGAGAGAGAGAGAGGGACAGACACACAGACAGACAGAAAAACACAGAGAGAGGGGGGGGGAGGGGGACGAAGAAATAGGGGCGGTTCCCCGTAAGGTATTTAGAAACTTCACAATCAGCACATTTTTTTATGAAGGCATCTTAGCTGTTAGGCCTGCCGGTCTGATTCCAAGAGGGGTTGCAGTCGTTTCCAAGACATGTCAGTTATAGATGGAGAAAAAAAGATGGAAAAAAACAGGTCGAGGTACTCTTGCTTTTCTTTTTCTTTTTTTTTCTCTTTTTTTTCTTTTTTCTTTTTTCTTTTTTTTTTTCTTTTTTTCTTTTTTTCTTTTTTCTTTTTTTCTTTCTCTTCTTTTGGGTAGGTGGTCGGGTCGGTGAGGGGTAGAAGGGGGCAAGATGGCTCTCGGAAAACAGGCACTGGCCTCAGTGGGCTGCTGAGAACGTACATGAATGCATATCTGGTCATTGGGCCATTCACATGTGTCTGACTGGGGAGACACTGAAGTCATCAAAAAACTTTTGAAACCCATGTCGCTGTTTCTCCCCAATTCAGACCTAATAAAAACAAAAAAATGAACGTTTACGTCTGCCTGCACCATGTGGCTCAAAGGTCGATCGAAAAAGTTAAAAAAAGGTCCATCAGGGGGCACGGAAAAGGTAGGTAGGAGCAAAGAAACGCAGACAGAGCGATAATGACCGTGCGTTGTAATCAAAATCCATGCTGGACGTCATATCCCCCGGCTTTCGACGATAGGAGGGAGAGTCCTGCTACTACCGTCTTCCCCCGATAGAACGCGTGGTCATTACTGCTGTATTTGGGGTGTCAGTCCAGATAATAGAGCGATAATGACCGTGCGTTCTATTCAGGGGAAGACGGTAATATCAATACTAGTAGAAGAAGAAGAAGAAGAAGAAGAGAAGAAGAAGAAGAAGAAGAAGCAACTAATGAATGGACAGGGGGGGTGGGGGTGCGCCAGGGCAAAAAGATGAGAAGAAGGGTGGGCGGGGTCTTCAGAGGGGTTCATCTGAACAACCAAATGGCCGATTACTGTGGGTGACTGTCATCTGTCTAATATCCCACCCCTACAACAACCTGGGCTTTTATATAGAAGAGGGGGGGGGAGGGGGGGAAGAATTAATGAATGAACATGGACGGGGCCAAGATTTCGGAAAGGCGACTAGGAGCACAAGGAGAACCAAATCGTTGCCACCAGAGAGGTCCGGGCTACAGACCACGTCACTGCAGCTGCGGCGGAGTCGGAGCAGGCGCAGAACGTCTGGTTATGGAATCGGGGTTGGTGACGGTGGAGGGGCATTGGGAGGTCTTGTGCTGCTGGTGATGGAAGGTGGTCCCTCAGATGGCTGACAGGGTAACCAACCACGCTTCGTGCCTCGCTGCACTACTCACCAAATGCACAAAATGCGAACGAATCTTCCACTAAAACATGGAAAGATGCACCGCCATCATTTTTATCTTTTGCGCATTTGGTGAGTAGTGCGGCGGGGCCCTTCATGTCTTCATTCATGGCTGAAAGACAAAATGAGTTGTGTCTTGCTCGTTGCTCAGACAGTTGTGTCTTTCAGCCACCAGGCAAATTCGAGGGGCAGAAATGTCTCTCCGGAGACACATTGAAGGGATCGCCGTCCCAATATGCATTTCGAGATGAGAAATCGCTCTCTTCTAAAGTGGTGTCCATCCAACGGGTCACCTTCCTTGTGGGAGGCAAACCGACACGTGGGGGCCACGCCATTTCGGAGAGGCGGTGGTTAGCCCCAACCATACTTTCTTCCAAAATATTTAAACTCCTGATTTGTTCGTTCCCCATGCCCCAAAGGCTAATATCACCTGGTTCTTCGGAACATTGGGTAAAGAAAAGATTACCATGGCCCCTGCGCAGGGACAGAAACCAACTATGGTGCTGAAAACCACACGCTGGTCATAGGGTCATGACCAACGTGTGTTGCCCAGGGGCCGGGACCCACTAGCATCGTTTAAAACGGTGTGTGGCGTTCTTTTCTCATTTAAAAACGCACAAGGAAAAGGACCCAAAAAATGAAAAATCACGAGGCCTCACATCGACATCATGACAATATAGGGGCACGGTCCCACTAGCACCCGGGTTAGCCTTAGCTATATCCAGGGCACATGTGTTTTCCGAATTAAATCAGGACAATGTAGTAGTCCGATCTGTTAGGGCCGTCCATTCCACGCAGATCTGACGGTGCTGCTTTTTTCATAAACTGTTTGTTTTTTTCACTTTTTCCATGTCTTCCAAATGAAAATGGACCGCCCTCCCATTGGCCATGCACTAAAAAGAGAAGAAAATGCATGCGAAGGGCATCTTCTCTCTAGAGAACATTATTTTTGGGTAGAGGACGGTCATCGTTCCCTGAAAAACAATTCAAAAAAGTGGAATAGAAACCAGGAAATTGAAAATATTGCGACCCTGGCGGGAGCAACGGATGAACATGAAACTCTCCTCCTCCCCTCTTCCCGCCCACCTAACTGCTTAGCTCCACCAAATCGGTGAGCTCGCCGTGTGATTGTTGTCAGATGCATCCAAGTCGGGCCATAATTCAGGTCCGATGCATTCAGGAAGGCACCAGTGCGAGCGCGCTGTCGTGCCAAATACCCTTACAAGGGTATTTCGCGTGCTTTTTACCAGTCGCACATAACGCGGCCTCGTCAGTGGTTGACGGCGCGAGCAAGGGGAGAAGATGAGTCCACGCCCGCATATGAGCGGTGTGCGCGGTGTGGTGGCGGCAAAGCATGGACGTCCGGAGACAGAGGGGGCGCGACGTCACAGTCTGGCGGCAAGGCCCTCCTTTGTCTATCGCCACACTTTCTCGATTTATTTTTGAAGTGTTTATTTTATTGATCGTCTTAAATTTTTAGCCTTTGATTGGTGTCAGTTCCGAGACCTGCAGTGGAGCTAACGGGTTTTAGTTTGGTCGGTACGACGGTGGACCGTCGAAGTACAGAGACCCACCCCGCCGAGGCTCAAGCTGTGGGCCTCAATGGAGGCCAGGGAGTGGCACAGCGGAGGCCAGGGAGCGAAGTGGCACAGCGGAAGCCAGGGAGCGCCTATAGAGCGGCATAGTGAAAGGCAGAGAGCGTTGTAGGGAGGCTCGCAGTGGTACTGCTGTGCAACTCGTCCGTCGGGCCCGGGTATAGGAACGAAAGACTAATGGACAAGTCTAGTAGCGGGTTTTATCTGAAGTCTCCACTGAGATACTGGAAGATTGTCGTACACAGGCCGCTGCGGAGCGTCCGACTGTTAGGCGTTAAGGGACCGAGGCCCTGTGGGCAGGGGCTGCCGCAGACGAGGATGAAGAAGGAGAAGAGAGGTATAAACAAAAAGAAATGAACCTGGCACGGTTTCGCGTCGGATACATGCAAAGAAGGGGATGGCGAAAGGATGAGTCAGGCGCAGCCGAAATGGCCTAGCTCTCTCGATCCTTAGTGGAATCGAGAGAGGTAAGAGGCAATCCCGGGGTTTTGGCCCCGAGCGAGTCCGATGATGAGGTCTGAAAGGAAGGAAAGTTAGTAGAAAGAAAGATAGGATAGAAAACGAATGTGTGATGATGTTGGGAAAGTAGATATGGTGGGAGAATGAAAATTCGATATCTACCCTGATTCCTTATAGAATCGGGCGAGGTAGGATCCTAAGTGGGGGTTATCGGACATTACGAATCGATTAGTGGTGTTAGCTTGGCGTGTAGATGACTAGGAAAGGTAGTAGGAGAGAAATAGACTGTGCGAAGGTAACGGGAGAAGGAGATATGCCTGAGCAGATAACTCATAGCTTGCCCGTTTCTTAGCCAAGTCAGGCGAATAAAGAATCGGGTTCGGGGTTTTTTGGCAAGGCGAGTTTGTTGGAGATGCATGTTTTCACGTTGAAATAATGGATTATCCGGTATGGGCCATAGAAGCTCCGCTAGGGGAAGGAGTATCGAGTAACCCCCTTCCGAATGATTTTTTTTGACAGGGAAAGCTTCTGCCTGGAGTCCCTGATGTCGGGCGAGCAATCGAGAGAGGCAAATGGACACAAGGAGTAGAGGAAGGAAGAAATAGGTGGCAGCGGGAGCTTCGATCCGGGAGGAAGAAGAGTTTGAGACGCAAAGATGCACGTACCTGGGTATCATAAATAGATGTATCCTCCCTTGCTCTAGGGGAAGATTCATTCTCCCTTCTCTGCATATTTGGAAAGTAGTGGAACAAGGTGTTTATAATAGCGTAGGCACTCGTCATCACGTAAAAGCTT